TTTTGTAATAAGTGCTGTAATCGCACCCCTCGATTGAATGATTGTTGCTGACCTTTTTCAACGCTAGATGGTGCATGAAGCAATATTTTGTGGGTCGCCATTGCAACATTTGGAAAAGGCATGTTAATATGATATATTTGCTGATAGGCATTCAAGTCACACACGAACGACAAGCCCCGTAAAACCGTCGTGCAGTCAAACCACCACAGGAGCATTTCGCATGTCCACAATTCGATTTGTCAAACGAGCGATTCGATCTGTCAAATGGGCGAACAGATGCTTCAAACGAAATATGCTGTCAGACGATATTTTCTTTGATCAGAAATTTGAGATTACTTTGATCATTTTTGAGTAAATATGAGTAACTCACATTTACTCGCTGCAAATATATTTACTCTGAGTATAGCTGTCTTGCTCTCAGCCGAAATACCGGTTTGGAACGATAAAAAACCGGTATTTTCGGTATTTTTGTTGGATTCTCCAAGCATTTTTCATTGTTTTTTACATGTTTACCAAAGTGACTGAAGTATAAATAATAGAATGTTTGTAATATTAAAAACAATAAACTTATGAATGTTTTGAGTGTGCTCCCTTGAGTTCCATGTAAATAGCCTTGATGTCGACTTAAAAAGCGGTACATAGGGGTAGACTGGTAAGATCGCCACCCGGGCAAGATGAGCACCCTTCAAGTTTACTTAAAAAATCTTTGGTTTTAATAAACTGCACACACGTACTTTTTAAACATGGTCCAAAGATGCAACGAACCAAAAATGATTAAAAAATATTCAATAATTTCCAAGAAATTTATAAAAATATGTCCAACAAAAAAAAATCCCTCATTGTCATAAGAATTTGCAATAACTTAAAACCCTGCAATAACTTAAAACAACTTTTAATTAATGTTTCAACCTGGGGCTGGTATTTTGTTTTGATTAATCAAGGAATATAATTCTAAAAATCTAAATAAAATCATACAAAAACTAATTCTGCTGTGACTGCACGTCTTCAACCGCAGGAGAGTTTATCTTGCCTCGGGGTGTTTGAAAACGTTGTAAAAAGTAACTTTTTAAATTCATTAAAAAAAAACAAAATTTGACACATTGAATTGTAACAGAATCATTTATCAATAAACCCATTTTCAAAAAATTATGCATTTTTATGTAGTTCCTCCTAAAACCGGTTTTACCGGTTTTACCGGTATTAAATTTTTCAATACCGAAAACCGGTTTTAGAAATAAGCCTCCGGTATTGTCAACCCTAGTTCTGAGCAATATAAAAAAGTAGAAGTGTCTGTGCCTAGGGGAACGAACGGGAGCTTGACGTAGGACCGCTAGTGGACGGAACAAATATGTTGATCATTTAGTTCTTAACTCTTTCCGTTTTTGAATTGGTGGCCCTGAAAAGGGCCGGTTGTTTTTCAAATGGTGGCCACACCAGTGCAAGTCGATGCCGACCGATGACGGCGGCCTAGTAATGCTTCCTATTGCTGGAAGCCTTTCCTCCGGTCGATGTGGTTGCTTTCGTCATCGTTTCGTCTTCGTATTGGTGTGATGCGTGCTGTTCCACTCATACGTCGTGTCAGACGCTTATCCGTCCGTTCCTCGAAAGCAAATGACGAAGAAAACGATTTAACAAGCGTTTTTATTTTCGTTGTTTTTCTCCTCCCTTCATTGGTGAAGTGGTGAGCGATCAACCGAGCATTGAGCTCGCTCATGTGAGCATGCGCAATGTGTCGTTTGTTCGATTTATGCTCTGTCGTTGCGTCCGTGTTTGGGAATTTTCGTTACATGTCTGAATTTTGATGTTTTTAATGTGACCCCCAGTAAAGAATTTAAAGACTACGTCAAAAATCCCATGACTCTAGAACAATTTTTGTAATGTAGCCACTTTATCGATCAATTATCCGTTTTATCCGGAGAACCATGGCCAAATTATCCCAAAATATTAGTTCCATATTGAATATGCTTTGATCTCGTGATTCTGAACAATATAGAAAAAAATCACAAGATTCTAGTACAATTTTTATAACGTGGCCACTTTATCGGATATTCCGGATCTTCCGTTGGGCCAGTAGAGGTTACCTGAGGGCGTATTTCGTGTTGTTACACCATTTATACTTGGTGCTATCAATTTCCATAATATGCCTAAGCCAGATGTAAAACTATGTCAATAGATAGTGACATGTCCTATTTTAACTGGAGCTCGGGTTGATCCCGGCCCTCTATCTCAGAAGAAAAAATCTCCGGCCAATTAGATTACCACCAATCGTTTCAGCAGAGTGTTTCCTTTAAGAATATGCATGACATGTTGACTGAAACCGTTTGTCAGCAAGCTTGCTTCCACTCATTTGCTATAAAAAGATGATTTTCGGAATTTTAGAATCATTAAAGTCTGTTCCAGTTAGTATTTGACCGCTTATTTTTAATTACTGTAGCGCCTCTAGTTGTCGTAGCAAGAAACTATTGACAGCGTTTTGATCCGCAAGGATTGTTTATTTAGTAGTGAAATTTCATCAGGATTCATATTTTTGTTCAAAAGTTATCGAAGATGGAACGTGACAGATGTGAAAAAATTCTGCACCCTCACGTGCAAAATCCAGCGTGGTCAGGAGGAATGATTGCAAAGGCTCACAAATTTCCAAAATCGACTGTAAATACCGTGCTTAAACGTTACCGGGAAACACTAACGTTGGATCGTGCAAAACAAAACAAACGTACATATGACCGAAAACTACGAGCGAAGGTCACAAGGGTAGTCCAAAAGAATCCTGGGATCTCCGGTCATGATTTGGCGAAAAGGATCAGTGCGGCACACAGTACAGTTCGGCGAATCTGTATGCGAGAAGGTTTTCGGTCGTACCATGTCAGCAAACATCCCAACAGGACGCTGAAACAAAACCTGGTTGCCAAAAACCGTGCAAGGAAGCTGTACGACCAAGTTCTGACCAAGTATAACGGATGAATTTTGATTGACGGTTAAACTTACATACACAGCAAAAAATAAATTTTAATATTACATCCAAGAGGATGCACTTCAATCATGTCGAGAATCTCATGTAATTTTTATGGTCACAAAAATAAACAAATGCAGTAAAAGCAGCGTAATGTCGGTTTATGCTTTGTTTTAATGATAATTTTGTCCTTTTTGGCAAGTTATATTACACCATATTTTTGACACGATTGAAGTGCATCCACTATGATGTGATATCAAAATAATGTTTTTGCTTTGGATGGACTTTGGACAAATCCCGGGGCCAAAAATTTTACTTAGCTAAACGTAAGGAGGATGCTCCGGATAAATTCAAATTTGTCTTTGCAGATAAATTCGCTCGCAAGTTAATGATTTGGCAAGGCATCTGCAGTTGCGGACAGAAAACAAAGATTTTCATGACTGGAGCGACTATGAATGGACAACTTTACAAGGAGGAGTGTCTCTGGGATGGTGATGTATGTGTCCCCCCGCCACCACTGGCAAAAAGAGATGAAAACCGACCCGCTCAAGTACCAACTGTGTGTTTGAACTTGGTACTTGAGCGGGTCGGTTTTCATCTCTTTTTGCCAGTGGTGGCGGGGGGGGGGACACCCCTCACCATCCCTCTCCAAAGGGGGAGTTTGGTAAAGAGAGATGAAAAAACCGATTTGTACCTTCCTTAAAAGTTGTCCTAGCCCGCTATTCTAATATCTATATGCAATCTTCACACTGCCGTACTCTAATGGAACTATCAACTCTATGCTTTCATCTACTCCATCTATCGTATAAAAATTACCACTACAGTCTGTTATTTGAAATTAGCATCTTCAACTATGTAAATCGTTGACTTCACGTAGAAGTAATACTAAAACATATAGTCAAAGTATGAAGAAATGTGGCAAAACAATCAAAACACCATCTGATTTGGAGAAGTGGTGGAAAAGGATGGTAGATGAGGTAGACAGTACTACTGTGCAAGACATGATGAGAAGTATTCCACGAAAAGTTCGAAAATTCATCCGAAAAGCTGACGAATAATTTTTGTTGTATTGCTCCCTTAAATAAAAATCCTACAAAATGATACCTTTAGCGTTTTTGTACTTTATTTCCCCTTGGAGAAATGACCTATTTTGTGCGGCCAAACTCTAAATGGAACAAACTTTAGATGCTATAATGATATTTTGAACTTGTCAGATACAAGAAAAGGTTGGAAGGTACGTATTTGATATTAAGAATCGTAAAATCGCTGATTGTGAGACTCTCAAAGCGAAATTGGCAGGTTTCATGTGTTAAACACATACTTTACAACCTCTTCTTTTAATTTACAAGCACAAAACATCATAATAACATCTAATGATTTTATAATTCCGAAAAACATTTTTTTTATAGCAAGTGAGTGTTTGTCAGCCGAGATATTGTCAATTCGTCGCGGTTTTGTCAATTTTTTTCCCACTGTGCAATGCATGAATGCGTGTAAGCACAATGACATTCTATGCTCAGGGAAGTCGTGAAAATTTTCAAACCGAAATATTTTCTAGACCAAACCCGGGAACAGAAACCGCCACCTCCAGATAGCTAAGATAAACGTTCCTTAACCCTCTCCTTCCCATGGTAACAAAGGTCATCCACAACATTTCGGTCCGTTTAATTTTTATCAATCAACCACTAAATACTTGTTACTTGTTTATGCCTCCGTGTGCTCACTATTCTCGTCCATATGTGTTCTTGAGAATTAATCTGAGCAATTACTATTGATTTTAAACAAAAACTTTTTTGTAATGGACTCGTTAACTTCAATCCGTATGGAACATCATTTCTTCTAGCACTTTTTTTCAATGACACATTTTTGCATCTCAAAACAACGAAAAACCTTCTGAGAAGGAAAGAGCTAACTTACTAGGCTCTCTGAGGCCGAGGGCCCCTTATCTTGGAACAATTTTTTTCTTCCATCCGACGTCAGTAGTTTTTCTTTGTGTGCCGAAATATGTAGGATGCCCCAATGATACAAATAATTTTTGATAAATACTTACGAAACACAAAAGGTATGCCTCCTCGTATCGCTTTTTTCCCATCGAATACGGCTAGTTTGCTGAAAATAAAAAGAAAAAAAATAAATATTCAGTCTACTTGCTACTCGATGTTGGTTGGAGTTTGAGTACAGAACAACGAAATCATCAACAGCTCAAGAGAAGACTGGTAAGCGTGATACATTATCACACCAAAGGGCCTGGGTTCAATCCCAGTCGGCACCGCCGGGATTTTCTGAGGCATAAAATCTCTTATCATGCCTTTCTTCGGAAGGGAAGTAAAGCCGTTGGTCCCCGGTTCATGAGTTGATGGGTCGATAGGTAGGGTCCAAGTGTGGGAGCTGCCACCATGGCGTCGGTAGTATTGGTACTCAGTACAGAAAATAAAAAAAAACTCAGGAGAAATGAAATTCTGAACCTGCAGAGAAATCATGTGTTTTAATTAATAAAAAAAAGTTTAATTTTTCGCCCTTCTTTGTGAGTTAGTTGTTAATATTCTTATATCTTTCTTCGCGTTGTTATCATCGTCTTTGTTCCATTCTGTTCGAGTAATCTCCGCGTTCCCAACCTCCCCATCGTCGGCGTCGAATAGATGGATGCTCATCGTTACGCATATAATGTAGGTAGGTATTCATTGTTGGCACCCATGTTTCAACCATGCTGGTAATTGACTTTCTCGTGGCGGTTACTCCACATGGCGCCTTCTTCGGTATCAAGCGGTTATTTGGAAATGTTCCGACATAACCCTGGTACCTAGGTTAATTTGCCTTCATCGTTTTTTTTTCGGCTCGCGCAGTGCGAAGTGTAAATAGTGCTAATTTACCATATTTGAACAAAGAAGTTCAAAAAAAGAGTACACTGAAGCGATTGGGAAGTTAATCAGCATAGGAGCAAGCGGCCAGAGAGCACCGCCTATCATCAAAGGGCAATTCTGCTCGCTGGCGGTAGAGTGAGCTATAATTTTCGAATCAGCAACCGCGAGTTCTAGTTTCTGGACATCCTATATATATCAAACAGCAGGGTCACGGATTTTCGGATTCGCTTGGAATTGCCAGTAAACTCAAATGTAGCCACACAAAAAGCCGAAACTACACGCTAATTTGCAGGAAAAGTGTAAATCGTGAAAGCCCGATGAAAGAACAGCATAAAACGGAACACATGAATTCAAACGGTAACCTAATAATTGAATACTGAAAAAAGTAATTAACGGAGTCATTACAGTTGCCGACTGCGGTCGGCACGAGTCGTGAGAGGTTCTAGTTCCAGAGGCAGTGGGAGTGTACAGACGGAAATGATGATCTGTGGATTTGAGGCGTCAAGTGATCGGCGCACGTGCTATGGTCAAAACCACCATTTTTCGGTCGGTACTAATCACACATATCGCCGAAATCGGAAATTGATGGTTTAGTGATGGGCTGATGATTGTTTGTTTGTGATCCGGCATTTCTCAACATTGTAACGACGTCACGCAAACCATGAGTGTAATTTTGCGTCCTTTGATAAGGATAATCTTCTTTTGATTTCCCATACCCCGACATTCACTGAAACGTGCACCGCAGATGCGAGAGCGATATTGATGGCGATGGTATTTGAACAAGCATATTACATCCCAAAAAACGATCACCATCGCCAGTTTTCGATAGCGGGTGATTGACCATTACGAATCGAATCGTCATGGAGTAATCCTTCGGTGGTGCTCATCAGGTGAATTATTGACTTTTGTGCCAAGTAATTGCTCGACCTTAATGACCTACCCAACAACGGAGCGTCGTCGTCGTTGTGTAGTGAACGGTGGTCGTAAATAAGTAAGCAAATAACGCAAAATGGTTCGATACGCAGCGACTGTCGGTTGCAACAAGAATTGTTTAAGGGTGCTTTTGCACCTTCCAAAAAGAACCCAAGTTGTACGTTAGAAATTTAACAGTTTCAGCGAAAGAAGATCGCAGCTTCCTTGCTATTCACAGAACACGCATGTGTTTGCTATGAACCTTCGCATTCGCATAATTGAGATGTTGTTTGTGAACATGATATTAAGTTAAACTGATGATTGATATGAAAATTGACAAGAAGTATGGAATTCTATGTCGATTGAAAAACGATTTAACTATTGCCAGTAAAATACAGCTATACAAATCAATTATCTCACCTCATCCTGACTTTTGCCCTTCCATTTTATATCTGGCTAATGAAACACAAATATCGAGATTGCAGCACTTGCAGAGTAAAATAATGCGTTTGATTTTGAGATGTATTAGATTCACTTCTTCAATTTTGATGCTAGACGCTTTAAAATGGTTGTTGGTGAAGCAAAGAATTGTATATTTGACTAGGGTGTTCATTTTGACGTAGAACTACGTCTTTGTCGACTATACTGGGGTGCAAATCAAAAGATATGTGTGATGAAATAGTGTTAGGTTTTGACCGCTTGTAACTTTGCCATTTATAGATGAAATTAAAATCCAAATGCACAAATAGATGGGACATAACTCTACAAATCTCATAGAATAAATACTTCTCCAAATTTCCATAAAAAACTTAAGAAAATTTTACAAATGATAATATTATCCCTGGTATTTTTACAAATGATAATTTTATCTTTCATGAAATAACCGTTTTTCCCAAACCCAGTCACCATAATCGAGTATCAATTTTTTGCACATCGTTCTGCTTGAACCTGAACAGATGTAAAACAGCGCTGTCGTGCCTCTGCTCATTACCGCTTCGGACGTTGTGGCACTTGGTACTGCAGCAAGCAATTTTACCTAGAACAGAAGCTTGCCCATCGGAGTTGAACCAGCCTACGGCTAAAAATCTCCTAAATAAAGGAAAAAAAAAAGCTCGTCCATGGCATCAACCTTCTCCCTCAATAGATCTTACCCTTCTAAACGTAGTGAAAGCCGGTGATCTTCGTTCCAATATTCAAAAATATTTCTACAATCTTCTATCAGACAAATACAATAACTATCACAGGGCTGGTAGCGAGTTACATTTTAGTGACTTGGTCACTTTTTTCAAGCCAGTCACTAAAAAGTCTCCTTTTTTAAGGCCAAGTCACTACAGTCACTTTTTCTTGTAATCAGTCACTATTTTAAACTTTTTTTAACGAAAATTTATTTCAAGATTGATCATTCTTCTTGCAATGTAAAGGACATTTTGTTCTAATTTTTGAACAATTCGAAGTTGTATAGAATTTTTTGACATTTAATCGTCTTTATCTACAGGGCTCATTTGGCTAAATAAAGTTTCCTGAGTTTTCCAGGTTTTTCCATAACTTTGGCGGAAAAATTCCAGGTGTATAATAAGAAAGCAATTAACGCAAACGTTTTTAAGACAAGACAATCAATTTTAAAGAAACATCTTTACCTAATTTTAATAAGTCGTACTAGCAAAATTGTGGAAACTTTTAAAAAGTTTTATTTATCTCAGAAAAACTAGATCTATGGATCATTGGGTAATTCCAGAGATCTTAAGGGGCAGTTTCCGAAACTTTAGTCCAGACTATTGGATTGGTTTAAAAAGCTATAAGCGTGAGTTTAGACAAATTCAGGATAGTTCCATGATGTGGTGAAATAAAATCAAGAATTAAGATGTTTCGAAAATTTCAGGGAAGTACAGAGACCTTGAAAACTTAAGAAATATTTCAGGAACTTCACAAAAATATAGAGAATTCCAGGGAAGTTTAAAGGTGTTTACGAGAATTCCACTTTCCAAAGCAGAACCGAGATCTTCATTAGAATTGAAAGCTTTAGGGAAGCTCCAAGAACATCAAGACAGATCATTAAAGGGCAGTTAAAAAAGTACAAGGGTCTGTGTCTAGGGGTGCCTAAGGAAATTGCAGAAACTTTAAAGAAGTTTCAAGAAAATTTTCGGGAATTTCCGGAAACTTCAGTTTTGCTGAGAGAAAATTTCTGGAACGCAATACAAATTATATGAACATCCGGAAAATGTGAGAGTATTTCAAGGGTTTTATATGATGGAAATTTCAAGATCTAAAAAAATTCGGAAATTTAGCTAAGTTGATTAGAGAACATCAACGAAGTTCCAGTTAGTATTGCAAGCACCGATATTTTCATGAAATTCCAGAGAACTTCTTAGAAATTTAGATACTTTAAGATTGTTTCCTTATATTCAGTGAAGTTCCGAGTACTTCGAGGACGATCAGATAACATCAGAAAAATCTCATTAACATAAGGAAACTTGCTGCTACTTACAAGGAGTTCCTTGGAATTTTGGGATATTCCGAGAATTTCATGATTGATCTGAAAAATTTACCGGAACATTTGATCAATTTAGAGAAATTAAGGTAAGCATAGAAAATTTAAGGGCTGGACTTTCCCGGGAAAATTAGTGATTTAAGGCAAATTTCCGTGAGCGAACTGAAAGGCAATTCAATCATTTCCAGTAAAATTGTGGGTTCTTTAAAAAAATACTAAGATATTCAGGGCAGTATAGAGAATTTTAAGGAAATTGGGAAATATTTTGGGCAGTTTTAAAAACATCAGGAAACTCTAGACTATTGAAGAAGTTATGAATTAGTTTCGATAATTTTAACTTCAGACAAATCTTGAGAACTTTAGTGAAAATCATCGAACAATATTAATTATTTCGTTGCGGTAGTTTAAAGAAGTTCCTAACATTTTTGAATAACTTCGAAAACTTCACAGATAACTTCATAGAAGTCTATGGAACTTAAGGGAAGATCCGAGAACTTCATAAACTTATATGGACAGTTCGGAAGTATTTCAAATAAGTTTAGTATTGCACCAAAAACAATGGAAATTTCAAGGGAGTTCAGTTCCATTAGTTTCACTAAATTAGCGAAAAATTTAAAAAAGTTCCCAGATTTTCAGGGAACTTTAGTCCAGAAGTTCACGAAAGCATAAACATTTGTAGAACAATTCAATTAAATTCAGGGTGGTACAACAAGCTTCACGAGAACTGCAAACACTTTAGAGAAGTTTCGATAGCAAAAACATATTGATCTCGCTAATAAAGCTCTAAAAAAAACTTCAAGAAAGAACAAATATCCTCAGAGCAAAGATATTCCAGAGTAGCAAAATTA